AGGCTGGAGATAATCCCCCAGTTGGGAAACCCCTGGCGAGTCCCAGAGGGGGTTACAGGATCATAACACAAAACTCAGAACCCAGAATACCCAGTCCACTCCCCCAGAACAGTCCTAACACTACTCACCCCACTGAATTAGATTTTTTTCCCCTTCCATCCTTGACACACATTTACATTGGTTAAATTATGTAATTTTAGACCAATTCAAATGTGGAGTTAAGAGGTGAGAGATCATTATTGAAAATCTAATATTTCAGCTGGTAGTATTAGCAGCCGGTAACAAAAGAAATAAGATGGAAAAAATAAAGAGAGAGAAACACTCAATCAAGAAGGGAAAAAATGAGCACCATAAAAATACCAAAATGCACCAGGAAACATTTACGCTGAATAGATTTCAGTTTACATGCAGAAAACTTCAGGTAATACTTTTTTAATTCTCCACATTCCGCAACATAAAGTCCTCTTCACTTCCATACAGTATTTATATTTACATACTCAGACTGATCCTTTCTTTCACCACTGAAGCTGTGAGTTCTTGGAAGCTGAGTCCTGTTCACTTTGTTTTAAAGTCTGCCAAGATACTCCTTTGAATTACACAGCTATAGATTGCTACAGATGATTTCTGAGCTCATCTCAATGGAGCCAGGACTCATCAACACTGTAAATTTTCCTCCTTTTCCATTTTTGGCACCCTCCTCATTGGATTGGCCACTACCAATTCTGGAACTTCTTTTCTCTTACCATCACCTCAATCACTTTTGATGCTATTTAGTTTTTATATTTAGAGACTGTGAAAATGAATATGTGTATGGTGGGACTTGGACCCACAACCTCAGAAATGCTGAGACACATTCTTGAGTTCTGCCTTTACCAACTAGGCTACAGATGCTTGTGGTGGCCATGGTTGTTAGGCAGTAGTGGACATGGTTAAAATGAGGTGGTAGCACACTAAAATCTACCTCAACATTATTTGCCTCTGTTTTCTAGGAGGAGACAATATACTGAAAGTGGTGGTCATGATACTACATCTATAAGACACACATTCTAAAACGTTTTTTTCTATATGTGTTGCTCTGCATATCTCTTGCCATCAAAACTATTCCTGTAGCTTCCCTTTCAAATTACAGAGAAATTTCAATTGCAGTTTCCTTTGTTTGGTAAGCTACTCAAAAAGGAACCAGTATTATTAGAATATTCATAAAAGAGTTGAATTAAAAATGAGGCACTTGAATCAACAAGGAAAAGAAATAAATTATATTGCGGGGAATTCCACAAATTGGCACAAGTATTGAGATAAAAGAGAAGAGTAGATAAAACCAAGTGAGAGCAAAGAGAGTGGCTCAGATTTGGAAGGTAATCTTAATTTCAGTATCCATCTCACTGAAAACCAGAAGGCTCAAGGACAGGGGATCAGATTTTCAGAGGCCAGCTTTTAAAGAGGCATAGTCACAGCAGATTTCTGAGCAAGCTCAGCGGGGAATGTGTGCAGCTGAGCAAGAATAAGATGGCTTAAAGTATATGACAGTAACATGTGAGATAAATTCATGCCATGCATAATTCTACATTATGATTTCACACCTGTCAGCTTGCTACTCTTCAGAGAAAAGCCTACTTATTAACAATGTAACTTTAAATAAAATATGAATAAGGCTCTGTTTGGGTGCAGTTATATTATGTGATACTCACTCCATTTGTATAAACGGGACTCAAATAGGCCCCTACCATATCACTCTGGTGTTTGGAAATGAAAAAAAATCATGAACTACATCACACTAGTGGTCATCACTTAATATAGTCCCTGCCAGATCCCAAATACATGTCTGGGCTAATATTTGGGGTGATATCAAATTTCACCTCACTTTCAAACACCTTCACATTTCACAAAAATGTGAAAAAAGCAAGTAATGTTGTGCATGAAAGTTCATCAAATCACATCACTACCCCCAAACAGGGCATAAAATATTGTAAAATAAAATAAGACATGATAAAATACAATAATATATAATGAAATATATAAGATAATTGAAACTCAATTTAAGAATGGAATATCATTGAAAATTCTCATTCTTATGGGTTTTACACCCAACCAACCCAGGGTTACCCAGCCTAAAGCTAAAAATAACTCCTTCTACTACTTTATCATAGCAGAAGTAGTAAATTGGCCCCAATTCTGAGAAAATAGGCTTAAACAGTTTGCAGATAATTGCAAAGAGATTTCTAAAAATCCTCCAGAAAAATATGAAAAGTTTAGAATTATTTACTCAATTAATCACTACATATTTCAATACACATATATGAAATAATGGAATAAAATACATAATAGTAGAAAAACTATAGAACAATCAAATATATATATATGGGAAAATTAAATCATTCCCATAGAAATTGAAATCACTTTAGAATATCTAAAAATTTGGGAAGATAAAAAGAGCAGCAATACAAATGTTGAAAAAACCCCTCAAATGAAAAAAATCTGTGAACAATATCTGTAACATATACCACAGCTCCAGAATATCCCCAGAGTACCTTCAAAATGCTCTATATGCCTCTAAGTTTTTCTCAGAAGCCCCAGGAACAGGCTTAAAAGGAAGATCCTCTGCCCTGTGGATTGATTCCTTTCACATTTCCACCAGAACCAATATTTGGCAAGTATCACCCAAGATCTTATCCAGGTGAGTAATTCTCTGGGTCTTATCCAGTGCTTTAAGTAATTTCACATTTTGTATCAGAGCCCTCAGTAAACCCCTCAATCTCCCCTGAGACCTCCTTGAAGGATCTTCTTTCCCACAAGGAGTTTCAGTCAATACCTCCCCTTGAAATCCTTCTCCATTATTTTCCCTAGGCACCATGAAAACCATTGAGCTATTGCTACAGAAGATCAGCATATTTCCAGGCACACTGTTATGAGCCATAGCACAGAAGTTTTATGTCAAGAGCCTTTCATGTACATTTTGCAAAATCACACTTATAGTCTGCAAGGAGGGAGATCCAATCCTCTCTCTCATCCTGCAATCAACTAAATAGAACCCAGAACCCCAGATATCTCCTCCCCTCCTCAAAACTGAACTTAACACACACTCCTGGTCCTAATATTCAGAGAGAACCATAGAAAACCCTGATTGATTAGACCCCTCTGGAATTTATATTCCATCCCTTTATTTGTGGCCCTTTGGAGTATTTTTCTCTATTTATTATTTACATATAAAAATATAAAACACCCCAGAAGAACAAGCCAACCAATCCAAAAAACCCCTGAAAATATTCATTTTATTTTTTCTTTCCATTCTTGCAGCCTGTGTAGCTAGAAAGAGTAGTTCTTGGTATTACACCGCTGACATTACTAGAGTCACAAACAATCTTACCTCACATCACTCGATGTTTATTCAGCCAAAATTCTTCCTGGTGAGGATAAGCAAATCAATAAGCAACTGTTAGTGATACAAGAACAACACTGAAACAGCCAAGAAAACTATAATGAAAGCTGAAGTAGCGGAAAGATTCAGTTTGATATTTAAAAAAACATTAAGTTGATACAAGCTATCTATGATGCTTATGATTTTTTTTTGTTGCAATTCCTCCTGAATTTCTGTTCCATATCCAAATCTGATGAAAAGGAATAAAAGAATAAGTATTCTGTTGTTTGTTGATTTCTTGAGTTCTTGTTACCTATTTTCCAATGGGAAACTATAGGAGCCGAGGCTCCATGAATACCAAGAACTGAATCAAACGAGTGTTCAATTTATGGCCATCAAATTTCTTGCAATTTATGGTCACGCAGCTGGTTTAAGTTTTGGCGTCGCTTGAAAACCAAGCCGTGATGAAGAATCAAGCCTAGCTGTATTAATCACACTCTTAGCGAACCCAGGCCCGCTATAGCCAAGACTATGGTCTCGCAGAAGAAGGATCATTTTGGGAATTAAATCGTTTTATAGTATGAGTTTATTTCACTGATGATGGGAGAAGTGAAAGTTATTTTGAACACAGATGGGGTAGAGTTTGATCACAGCTTCGCGGTAGCTCTTCTGGCGTGTTGCACACTTGATTAAGTGTTATGAACATGCTGGAACCCATGTTAGCTGCCAGGTGGAGAAATTGTCCTGGCGGTATCGGAGCGGGGGAGTTTCAGTTCTTGGGGAAGATGAGAATGCCCAGCAGAACAAGATGCGGCTGAGAAAGTTTTGGGGGAGACAACAAATGGCAGACGATAGAGAATACAAAAGCCTAATAAGCATATCGAAAATCAGGATGACGATCGCCCAGATCGGCCCAAGCCTGCTTTCGGACGCTGAGGTTTTCGTGATGAGACAGCGGATCGTGATTAGGATAGTCCTTCAAGAGCTGTTCTCGTTTCACAACCTTCCATCGGTTTGCCATCTTCAGCCAGATCAAATTAGAGGTCACTGTTATCACTATTCCAGCAGAGCTGAAGATATGATATCCATCAATCAAGTCTGGGATAAGGACCATAATATCTGCCCAGTGTAACTTAGAAACAGAACAGAAGAACACTTACAAGGTAAGGCCCACGAGCGTTCCAGTGCGATACCGCGGCTTTTCCTTTTGAGGGAAAAGCTATAGACCACAAGATCAGGCAGTCAGTCAAGTGCACATAACAAAAAATAAAATAAAAACAAAACCAAGCCTCGTAGGGACAAGAGAGGTGGTGATATAAGGAAACAATAACTCAACCCAAGTGCTAAGTATCCCTCCAAGGTTGCTCGATACGAACCCTATTGCTATTGACGAAGCTCTTCGGTAATGACCTTCACTATTGTTCGATAGCCAGGCGCTGAGTGGAGGCATGGTGGAGTAGGCGCCTGAAATCGAGAGGAACAGCGAGCCGTACTTCAACGAGGTCTGGAGTGGATCGGCTACATAGAATAAGATGAAGCCTATCATCTGCACCGTCCGAAAGAAATATAGGAATCAACATTTGGATTTTGTTTTCATTTCTTCCTTTGGCACTTGGATCTCCCGAAGTTTCGGACTCACTCCCACCAGCGCACATCCGATCGTCACAAGCCCTCTTGCGCAGTATTTATCAGAGATGTAAGCAGTCACAAGCATCACTGAAAATCACCCAAAGAAAAATGCTTATCACCGCGCCGATCAATGATCCATGGAATTTAGAGTAAAGCACTTGCCAGTAAAAGCGACGGCAAATGGCGGGACACTCATCAATTGACTGCGAGATGCTGAGTATCCTAACTATAATTCGGGATTGTCACGGCTTCAGCTTGTTTTGCAGATAAAAGAAGATGAAGTGATTGCTCACACTGTTGACGACTGGTACATGAACATTGAGCATTATATAAAAATCAAGTCAGGTTGAAGCACGGCCTATGTGGCAGGGCAAGCTGCGACGAGGTCAGATGACTCACTGGTAGGCTGGAAGTATGCCAAACTGTATATCATCGCTCCTGACATGAAGAGTGAGGCAGAGTTGATCAGAACGTGTGGACTTTTCAAAGCTGCGAGCACCTCCGCGAATGAGAAATGCTCGAAAGCCTCGTCGGCCATCGGCAGGTCCCTGGCCAGTCGTGCTTTAAGCATACTGAGCGCAATGATTGTTAACACTCTCATCATCAAACAGATATAGGAAAGACTGAAATGATGACCTACGCCTTTTCGCCCTGGGACAGAAATCTGCTTGCCTCGATCGTACCCGGGAAGATGAAAAAGGAGATCAGTCCCCACACGAACGTGAAAATGCCTTCGATCTGTTGACGAGTGTTTCATGAACGATAGACAAAGAGAATTCATGTACACTTCAATCACATTTAACTTGAAGGCTGCCCGCGAAGTATCAACAAAAAACCCACAATCAGAATCCAAGACCAGCCTGCAAGGCCTCCCATGCCGTCTAGCCTTATGATCCCGTATGCAAGT